ATTCTCAAGTGGGTGCCGCGGGGATGCTGCCTGGCGGGGCAAGTGGGGAACCCGGGAGGCGGGGGAGGCAGTGCCCGGCAGGGTCGGCGCTGCCCACGGCTGCCGGAATCCCTCCTTTATTAGCCCCGGGCACGGGGATCTGGGGTCCTGGGGTGGGGATGCGATTTCAACTCAGGGTTTTTCTCGCCAGGAAAAATGCATGAAGCGTTTCCCCAGGATGATGGCTTTGCTACCCTTAGGACTCAGCAGTTGAATTTTTAAGTATGTTACTGATTCATCCTCTCTCTTCCTCTGTCATCACAGGTTTAAACTTACACGAATCGCTCTCTGGAGGAGGAGGGGACCCGCCGCGCGATTGACACGCATATTCCTATAGGCATCCTCCTCCCTCAGCTCCCACCCCCAAGGCCGGATTCGGGTGGCTCCTCTTCGAGCTGAAATCAGAGAAGAAATCTTTAGATCTATTTTCTTAAAAAAGAAAAAAAAAATCTAGAAATCATCGGCATTTTGCGTTGCTGCTTCTTATTTGCAAGATGAAGAAGTTTTTCGACTCCCGGAGAGAGCAGGGCGGCTCTGGCCTGGGCTCCGGCTCCAGCGGAGGAGGGGGCAGCACCTCCGGCCTGGGCAGTGGCTATATCGGAAGGGTCTTTGGTATTGGGCGACAGCAGGTCACTGTGGACGAGGTGTTGGCAGAAGGTATGGTGGAACTCAGTACGCCGTAAATTAAAATCTTGTGCTGATGTGGCAAGACTCTGGTGTCTAGTTGAATCTATGAATGGGTTTTGACCAATTGACCCACCCTTCCCCCTTCACTGTCCCTGTGAGAGTCATTGTCCTTGAGAGATTTGAAACTGAGATTGGAAAGTGACAGAGTATAAAGGGGTGGGGGTGGGTTGTTGAAGTTGTTTACCTCAGTGGCTTTTTATTTTCGAAAAAAAAGCATTGAGAAACCATCGTCTTTCCCTTACTGAATTATGCGGATCAGACAGAAATAGGGTGTGTGAAAGTATAAAGCTTGACATGAAATGCTGGGTGGTGGGCTTGTCATCTTGTAAAACTTGAATGTAGATGTGAAGGCTGAAGGATGGGATGGGGGGATCTTTAAGAAGAGAGATGGGTTTCTTCTACCCAACTTTCCCACTTCTATAAGTAGATACTGAAAGGAAGAGAAGATTTTCAGGGAATAGGAATGTGTTTGTCTGAGTCAAGGTTCTCGGTGGATTTTACTAGGTTTGTTTCCTAGCTCAACTGTAATCAGATTCCCCAGGATATAGCTAAAATAACAGAAATGATATGAAATGAATGTGATTATTTTGAATTCAGTCTCATAAGCCCCTCTTCTGCTTGTTTTAGTTTTTATTAAGGATAACTTGAGAGTGGCTCTGATTTTGTTTCTCTTCTGTTTAAGAAGATGTTTAGATCTGCTGTGTAAATGCCCTCCGTGTGTGTTCATTTGTATATCTCTGAAATACATCTTTATTCTCCAGGCTTTTGGGAAATCTTTGCATGTTTCTTTTGGTAACCTTAACCTCGACCTTCATAATTATGCCAGACTCATACTTTTCACAGCTCGTTGCTTGCTTAGTGTGCTTTTATTTTTAATAAAAGCAGCAATTTCCTTGGCATGAAGCAATTCAAACTAATTGGATGGGGCCGACCTGCTGTAGGTTTTATAGGCTGTGAGGGGTTGGGGAGGGGGAGGCCTCTATTGCTGCAGCATAGTGGTAGGGAGCATTCTGTTAGCTAGGGAAGAGAGAAAGTGAAGAGGCCCTTTTTAAAATCTTGCAAGCTAAGACTGAAGCAAAGGTCCCTACCTGGGCCTAGGAAATGCCTGTCACGGTGAGTGTTGTAGGCTGGTGGGTGGGTTGAGAAGATGGAGAAGCCGCTTGGTTCCCAGCCTGTGCAAGCACTGGATTCAACAGGGCCTAGTTCTTTTGGAGTAGGGTTGAAAACAGTGCTCGAAAAACACTTATTTATTCATTTATTTAAACCAACAATTATTGTCCTTGTGAAATTATTGCTGTTTTTCTTTCTCAGTACTACTCTGGCTGGACTTCATCCGGGGCCTGTCCCTGTCCCTCTGGATCCTTCCTTGTAGGCTTTGGTGCAGTATGGGAGATGCTTCTGTGCCCGCTGCCAGATCTCTACCCTTGAGTCTGATCTGTCTCTTTCATCCCTGTGCCAAAGCACTTTACTGCAGTGGGGTGGAGAAAGGGAGAAGGAGTGTATGTGAGAGAGAGAGATGAGGAGCAATGAGGGGGCGCAGAGCTCTTTCCTCCCTGTTTCATGGCCTTTACTGACCTTATAGCCCCAGAGCATTTTGTTCATCTAGGATGGTGTCTCAGAAAGGATGGTGGTGCCCTCACCGGTGCCTTCTCTGAGTCTGAGAAGAGTGATGGAGAAGAGAAAAGGAAAAATTGGTGTTTGTTATCTAGGCTGGCCTCCTCTTACCTAGAGTTCATGCTTGACAACTGCGCATCATGCATTATGATATTTTCAAGTAGAACTTGCACTTCTGCATTCCTTCATTTATATATTCACTTAACAAATAGTTATGGATTGCCTATCACGTGCCAAGCACTGTGCTAGGCTTTGGGAATATGATGTTAAACTAGATGCTAGAGTTTATGAGTTGCTTTAAGAGATAAAAATTGGCCACTTGTAACAGAGTAATTAATTAGTACCATCATGGAGATAAGCGTAGTGTGCAGTGGCTGTGAATTTTATTTTATTTATTTATTTTTTGGGCCCCCAGCTTTAGGAAGTCAAGAACTGTTTTGTACAAGAGAAAAAGCCTGAAGAATGAGTAGCAGTTAGCCACTGTGGTGGCCACATGGGCAAAGACTGAGTAGCAAGAGAGAGTGTCCTGTAATGTCAGGTCTGGCAATGCTGCCTATTTTATGTTCTTTGACTATATTTGAGTCAGAATTTGTGGGCTTTGAAGTAAGGTTCAATATACAGAGTATTTTTGTAGTATCTGTGAAGTCCAGAGGTACTACTAAGCTCTGAAAGGGGATGAGAGAGCTATAATTGTGCTGCCTGCCTTTAAGGAGGTGCTCATAAATTTGGGACAAGACAACATTCCCACATACTGTAGTGTGGTTGTCAGCACTGACTGTAGAGTCAAACAAATTTCGGATCTGTTCTTACCAGCTGTGGTGCTATGACAGACATTCCAGAGCACCCTGAATCTCTATTTTCCTGTGGCAGTGTTCTTAAGAGGGACCCTGTGTCCAGAGCATCCTTAGCATCAGCAAACTTGTGAGCAAGGTAGACTCTAAGGCCTCACTCTATGGACTGTGGATATGGGGCTTTACTACCAAGTTCTAGGGAGGTTTTGATGTAAACTAAGGTTTGAGAACTACTGCCCTATGCCAAGGTATATATTTAACATTTTTCATTTGCTCAATAAGTGGTAGCCATTAATTACCAGAAAAATCTATAGATAAATACATAAAGAGAGAAAGTGTAATGTGAAAGCTAGTTTGACTATAGCAATCAGAAATAATCCCTTTCCCCCGTTGTGGGTGGACTGAGCCAGATGCTCTTTGAAGAAACCTTACCAGCTCCTTAAAGGGTCAACAGTGTTTTAGGTAGCCAGGCTTCCTCCTTGGTCCCTCTTCTTTGAGGCCTGAGTGCTGAGCTGTCCATCATTCCCAACCAGAGTTGTTTAAGGACAGTGAGTTGTACATAAGGTGCTCAGGGCAGTGGCCAGGCAGTTTATGGAGAGTGATATATGGGCCTTCAAACGTCAGCCTGATTATCACCATATCCTGTTGATTATTTCTTTCTCCCTCGTGTAGTTATTGATCTGTGCTTCATAGTGAGGAATTGTAGGCACCCTAAGAAACAGATACTGGGGTGCCATCTCTATCAGCAACATCAGTCTTTGTGTTCTGATTTTGCTAAGTGGTTCAGGGAAAATTTATCGGGGGGAAAAAAGGCACTGAGTCTTCATTTGGAGGGATATGGCTATTCCTAGGCTTGGCGGTGGGAAGGATACCTTCCAGCTTTCTTGGTAAAGATGCCATTATGAAATGCTAACTCATATCTGAGCTAATGGGTGTGTGTTATCAAAGGAAGATTTGATTAAAGCTTCCAAAAGAGCTCTTGGGGAAAATTAGAGCAATGCTTAAAGAAGGACTAAGAAGCAATAGTTTTGTAATGCTTCTTTAGCTATATGAAGCCTTCTTTTTTCTTTTGGTCAGTTTGTGGGATTGAACTCAGAACATTGCACTTACCAGGCCCATGCAGTGCCAGTGCCACTGAGCTACATCCCTAGCCCAATTAAGCCTTTTATCTAAGCTTTGAACAAAAAATACATTATTTAGTTTTATTTATTTACGTTTTTGAGACAGGGTCTCACTATGTATTTGAGACTGACCTGGAACTCACTATGTAGCCCAGGCTGGTCTCGAACTCACAGTGATCCTCCTGCCTCAGCCTCCTGAGTGCTGGGATTATAGGCATGTGACACCATGCCGGGCTTAAAAAGTATATATTGAATGCCTTCTCTGTGTCCAAGACAATCTTCCAGAACTGTATCAATTCTGTGTAAGACTGACTAGCTAGCTTCTCAGAACAGTTTTCTTATCCAGGTCCAGTGCTAATGAGAGCTAAAACTCCAAATCAAAAAAGCCTCCATGATTTTTCCTATCTGTAGTGCAAAGTAGTAGGGCCTAAAAATGTGAGTCCACCACCACACACAAAAAAAGCATATAATTTGAACATCTTGGTGGTATCAATACAATGCACATATATATTCATCTAGTGAACATTTACTAATGCTTTTTTTGTGTAGCACTGTATTAGGTCCCAGAGATAAGAAGTTAGATGGGACATGGACTCATAGACCAATAGATGAGAAATAACCCTGAGATAAGTGTCTAGCCCTCAGCATATTCTTTAGACTATAGTGAGAGAGGTTAGGAGTTGATAAAAAGTAAGGGTCTAGGGATTTGGGCTCTTAGTGAATAGAAAGTTTGAACAGGAGTGGAAATTACTCAGCAGATGTTTCCACTGAGGTTCACCCAAGACCTTCCAGCCAGAGGGAATGGCATGTACAAGGGTGTGGAGAGGTGAAACAGAACAGTATACTTCAGGAAAACTGACTAGTCTGATGTTACTATTTTGGGTAGTACAGATTACCCCTCCAGAATCAGGGAAAGGACATGGAGTGACAGAGTGAAGTTCTTTTGTATGTGCTTCCACATGTGCATTCGGATATGATTGCTGCTCAGTGGCCCTGGCCCTTGAGAAGAATTGTCATAGCTTTAAGTATGTACTGCTCTCCTGCCGTACCTCAGTGCTGTGCTGGTTGAGAGGAAAAGAAACAGCTAATGTCTGGGTCAGGGGTGTCCTAGGAAAGTCCTAAAAGGCAAGAAGCTTGAAGCAGAAGCAGGCAGGTGTGTGTGTGTGTGTGTGTGTATGTGTGTTAAGCAGTGTTACAGAAAGGAATGAACAGGGGAGATAGTAAGGATATTTGACTAGAGTAGAACATCTGTTGGCGAGAAAAGGAAGGAGTAAGTTTATGGAGCCCTTTGAACACTGAGAGACTGGTTAGAAACACCTGAGGGCTTCTCTTGACGCAAACACCAGTTTGATCCTTCGCACTTCAGATGTCTTTGCCTGCTGGGAACTCTGGTCTTTCAGAGGCAAACTGCAGATTTTCAGGGGGTGGTTTGTGAATGGTGTCT